CACACACACACACACACACACACACGCGCACTCACGCATGCACGCACGCACGCACACACACACACACACACACACACGCGCACTCACGCATGCACGCACGCACGCACGCACACACACACACACACACGCACACACACACACACATAGTGACAGCACTGCCACCGGGACGGGCGTGCGGCACCGCCAGGGGGCGCCACCGCGAGCGTACCGTCTCCTGCTCCTGCTCCATGACGTTCTCGAGTTCGTAGAAGTGACGCAGCTTGATCTCCAGCTTCTTCATCTGCGTCTCGACGAGCTGAGCGACGAGCGTCTTGATATTCCTCTCCTCCACCGAAGCCAGGTGCTGAGAGAGAGAAGCCAAAATATGGAGTGTATAGAGAGAAGCCAAAACACAGAGCAGTGTTAGAACACAAACATACTGGCGGAAAAGAAGCACAGATGCTGAGAGAAGCCATAACATGGAGTGTTAGAACAGGTACATGCAGGCGCGAGGGAAGCAGGGATGTAGATTGGGTGGAATAACATGTCCATTGAGCGCGTGATTGTGATTGCGATTGCCAGTTAGTTAAAGGATTTGTTGCTGGTTGCATTAACTACTTGGATTTACCAAACAGATTTTGTTTCGATCACCATCATCGTCACCACCACCACCTGCCAACCTGTGATTCATGAAAATAGGAAGGCTTTTCTTTTCTTGCAGCAGGCGGCCATTTTGTTTGTATGTTATGCGTGCAATGAATGAATGATGGGACTAACTCTAGATCACGCGAGAACAACGTGAACGCGTGATCCAATATGGCTGCGCCCACAATCGCCAGATATTTCTCGACTCGCAATGTAAAAAACACATTAATTTTCAAGTCGTAAAAAAAGTTTTTCAGTTCGATCGTACATTCGTAAAAACATCTTGGAATTAGTAAGGAATACGAAAAAACATCGTAAGGGTTGGCAGGTCTGCCACCATCGTCACCAACCTTGGCCTTAGTAGCAGCGACGGACAGCGCGGCGGCGGCGGCCGCCTGCACCTCCCCCTCGTTGATCTTCCTGTCCTTCACCGACGTCCGCCGCGCGACCACCTCCTTCGTCGGCGTGCCAGGGGGCGCCTCCGAGTCGGTCGTCGGCGTAGAGGGCGCCTCTGTCTCGACGCCGGACGACGTAGGGGGCGCCTCTGCATCCTTGTGCGGCGTCGAGGGGGCGTCGGAGTCGGTGCTGTCTGCGCGATCCGCCGGCTCTTGTTTGATGTCGACGACGGTGGTGAAGTCAGCGCCCACCTCCACCTGTATGCAGAGAAAGAGAGGTGAAAGGGAGAGAGAGAGGTGATAGAGAGAGAGAGAGAGGGAGAGAGAGAGAGAGAGAGAGAGAGAGAGAGAGAGAGAGAGAGAGAGAGAGAGTCTCTCCCTCTCTCTTTCTCTCTCCCTCTCTCTTTCTCACTCACTTTCTCTCTCTCCGGCACTCCCTCTCTCTCTCTCCCTCACTCCCTCTCTCTTTCTCACTCACTTTCTCTCTCTCCATCTCTCTGTCTCTCTCTCTCTCTCTCACTTGCTCTAACTCTCTCTCCCTCTCTCTCTCATTCTCTCTCGCTCCTTCTCATGGTTGGTAACCATGACAACACGCACACCACTGGAACGCGGCTTATGAGAGATCTTCGACGGCAAGCGCTTTTCGCCACCAGAGGGCACAACCTGCGTTTCCGCCCGCTCCGCGAGCTTTCTCGCGGCAGATGCGCCGTCGCCACAGCGACGGAGCGAATGCTCGTTTTGCAGACTAGAGCGCAGTCGCGACGTTGACCCGTAAGTCGAGATTGGAAAGCATTTCGATTTCGGCCGGGGACCGCACAGCAAACGTCTCACGATAGCATCGATAGCGGTTTCGTGCTGTAGGGTTGAGCGCCCCCTGGCGGAGAACGGGGATACTCCGGGCGAACGTCGCGCTAATGGCGGGAGATTGCGACTCCAGGTCTCGTCGTCACTGCGACGAAGCTCCACCTACAGGACAAGATCGGAGTTAAAAATCTCTCTCAAAAATATAACATAATATTAAATGTAACATAAAATATATATATATATATATATGTGTGCCTCTCTCCCTCTCTTTCTCTCTCTATATATATATATATATATATACATACATACATCTATACCGTATACAATTATATATATTTTAAAGTTTACAAGTATAACGTCCCCCCACCTAACCACCCTCGCATGGCAATTAAACAATAATAATTCATCGCATAAATATAAAATAATATCACACATCATTATTATCATCATTACACATATCACTATGCACAATTAGAAAAACAAAAACTTGGAAGGTCGCAAACAACCGGGTTGCCCCTCCCCCCCCCCCCCCGCGTCGCGCACGGGGGTGGGCGGGGGGCCATCTCACCGTGGCTGCTGGTCTGCGGGGGGGTCCGCGCGGGCGTCCTGGGGGGCGGGCTGCCCACCCCCGCTGGGGAGCTGCCGAGGGAGGCGGGCGGGGTCGACGACGGTGGGAGGGAGTCCTCGCTGTCCATCCCCGGCACGCCCGTCACGAGGATGGCGCGCGGCGTACCTGCAAGACGGGAGACAGATATTATATTATTATATTAGATGTTGGTTAGATTAGACAAGATTATATCGGATTAGGATTAGATTATATTGGATTAGGATTAGATTATATTCGATATGATTTAGGAGCGTGGTGCACGGCATGCTTGTGAGACGGCAGGTAGATTAGACGAAGATCATATTAGATTCGATTAATTACATTAGATAATATTTGATAGGATTAGATTGATTAAGAGGGTCATGCGGGGAGTGTCGGTGAGATGTCGTTAAATTAGACAAAGATTATATCGACTTAGCACTATCAAATAATAGGTGTATGTGCATTTACGATAGTAAGTACAGATTGGGAACAAGGAAGGATAGGAATAAAGTTTTACAAGAGGTTTTCAAGCTTCTTTCCTTGTATAGGTCAGCAATTTACCTAGAGGGCAAATTAATTCTGTAGATGTGTTACTGGGGAGCATGGGATTAGTATATTTTCTGACATAATAAAATCCCAGGATATGTATGATGATCTATAGCAGGGGTCCAACGGACTCCCTACCCTCAAAAAGAGAGAGTCTGCAGCAAAATGCGCAGTCTGAAGTTCAAAACTAAAGGTATTAACAATAAT